TTTTCGATGAAACCAAAGAAGTACAAACCATATATAAATATATATATCGAGTCAGTTCGTTCTTTTTCTTCTTCTGTGTTTACTTTCTATACAAAGAGGAAAACAGCTGCTTGTCATATCTAATGATTGGTTGTATTTTGACAACTTCATCTGATGAAGAAAAAAGAAAAAGAGAAGAACAAAAAGAAAAAAAAAAAGAAAGAAATCTCTCATTTTTTTTCTTTCTTCTGTACTTCTCATGTGTCTCGTTCAATGCTTGAGGGTGGTATATGCTGTTCACGATAATGATGTGAATTCGGCATAAAAGATTTCTCGATTGTGTGTATGTATGTTACATAGGATGAACGCGAAAGCCCACGGCTATCGATCACACATGTGTTGTGAAGTGTTCATCATTAAAAAACAAAAAAAAAAAAAAAAAAAAAGAAAAAAGAAATACAAAAAAGCTTTTTTTTGTTGCTGTGTCTCTACTTATTCTTCTATACTCGATATTTGTTTCAATTGAGGAAAAGAAGAAACAAAAACTCATTATCACTCTCTTTATACAAATGACAGACAACGAGAACAATTGTAACTGATATTAAGCATATTTTTTGACAAAGAACTAATTGATCTTCTCAGCTGGTTATTGTAATATAAAAATAAAACCATTAATAGACTGTCAAATCAATTTGTAAACATTAGTTTATATGAATGATGACAAATATTCTTGTTTTGTTTTTCTTTTTCGTCAATGATCTGATTTCTTTTTTATATCTCAAATGAATTCATCCAGTAAGAATACATGCTGACTTGCTATTCAATTACTCACAGTATTTCTTATCAAATTCATCATGTCTGTTTACTAATGATTCCCTTTGAAAATAGACATATATATATATATATATATATATATGTTTGTAGGCAACAAACTCACCACCTGTCATTAATTGTACAGGTTAATTACTGATTGACAGAGAGAAGGAAAAAAAATTTGTTTTTTTGCTATACGATCAGAATCATAGGCTTTTATCAATATAGGTACGATAATAATAAAAAAAGAAAAAAAAATGTAGAGTGTTGACAGAATTATCTTTACAGTTTTTTTTTTTTTTTTTTTGCAAATATGTTCGAAGAAATAATATTAATGATTTAGGTAAACACATAGAAATGAGATTTTCTTAATTAATTTTCGATTGAAAAAATAGTTAATCAAATATATAGATCATATTGACATGAAAGAAAATGTATGAGGTGAATATTTTGTTTGGCTTATTTTTTCTTTTTTTTACATTGAACATATGTATTAAAGAGCATCACCTATTCAATATGATGACAAACGAGAAACAAAGAGATCCCATAAGCCTACTATTGTTGTTATTATGAATTTTTCAATCGATTGATATTTGCTAACATTCTCTTTTTTTTTCCATTGCATATGTTCTCATCAGTTGGTCAGCAATCGTTAATCCACTCTCAACTACGATATATATATATATATATGTCAATGGTTCAATAATTCCATTTTTCTACATAACGCCAGCTGTCAACCAAAAAGAAAAAAAAAATAATAAATCGCTGTTTGAATTCACTTGTGGATTTAATGTACCATCAATCACCTTTGAAATCTATTCATATTTATCAATAGATATGCAATAATTTTAATACCATATATAAATGCCTGTTGAGACTGGCGATTCTTTTTTCTTTTTATATGATTAGATCTTATCGAATACTAAATGACGCTTACTTAAATTATATTGATATATGCAAAGAAATCGGTATACTATACAATCACCCGATCATGAGCATAAAAGAGAAAGAATTAATTCATATTTGCATATTTGACACCATCATCAAACACACACACACATTGGCACTCAAGAAGGGAGTGGTCCTTTGTCGGAATATTGTCTATATACTTTCTGTCGGTCACAGTATGACACTAAAAGAAAATAAAGAGCTCAACTAAAGATAAAAAAAAAAAAATATATATATCAAATAATTTTTATGCCGAACAAAAAACAAAAAAATCTTCGTTTTGATTGATTTTATTCAACGGAAGTATTAATCAAGAATGTATGAAAATCTATCTATCGGAAGAATATATCAATGTAATTCTAGATTGATATTTGACGTATTCAGGAAATATATTTCATATTTATAAAGAAAAATCTGTTAACATAAAATATATCTATTTTCTTCTAATATGTATAATGTTCGTGCTCAAAATTTTTTTTCTTTTTTGATCTTGATTTACTCAACAAATGGAATAGTTCAAAGCATGCGCATGTATATTATAATAGTTTATATAAAGAAAAAAAATAAAGAAAAGCATCAAATGATATTTTGTTGATTTACTTGAAAGAAAAAAAAAGTTAATGTTGATTAGTTTCCTTTTTTCTTCTTCTTCTGTTGTATTGACATCGTCAAAAGAAAAGACAGATGGAGTTTTATAAGAGATATCAATTCAATACTTCACATCTGCTTCATTGACAAATAAGAATTTATGTATTTCAAACAAATGTCATCGATTATTATCTTTCATATTTATATATATATATATATGATAATATCAGAGGTTATATTGTTTTTCTTTTTTAACAATTGACCTAAATGAATGTCAATAGATTATATGTTATCTAATTTCAATATCTTATGTCGAACAATTAGAAGGCGATTAGTGAGTGATAATGTTTCTAAGTTTCGATAAACATAATATCTAATATCAACTTGAATTTTAGCACCTTTAAATGCACTTTTCTTTTTCTTTTTTTTTTATAAATTTTTCTTTTTATTCAAGATATTCTATACAATCTCATGATTACTTTTTAATGGATACTATAAAAAGAAGAAAAAAAAAGAAAAAAGAAAAAAGAAAAAAGAAATACTAAAATAAGTATTCACAAATGCTTCTTTGATGATGGTAATGAGTTGACAGGTCAAATGGTTTGTTCTATTTTACTTCTTGAATGATTAATTCTAGCAAATTCTTTTTTTATTTAACCTAATATTCAAAGATATGGATTGGTTATTCAGAAAATATTAAATCGCAATAGTATTTCTTTATCGATATTAAATAATTATTAAATAAAAAGAGAGAAAAAAAAAACAAATTGCGTCTGTTAGAAATGCTTTGTTCCATTGTATTAATTTTCTAAAAGAAAATGATGGATGATCATTTATTAAGACAAGAGGCTTATTTATTTAAAACAAAAAATTCCTTTTTAATTAAGAGTCAGAGTTAAGCATAGGATTACTATTTTCAATAGAATAGACACGATTCTTATATTCATTTTCTACTCATCAAAATATATCTGTCAAATTGTCAGTCATATTTTGTCCTCAATCTATTTATCTTAATTTTCTTTCATATAATATGCATATTTTCTTAAATTATAATTTATTGAAAAATAATGTAAAGAAAATGTATTTATTTATTTTGTAGAATTTTTTTTTGTGTTTCGATATTTGTAAAAAAAAAAATAAAACCATAATTGATTGCAAATAAACAAATTGAACTTAAATATCAAAATTTTCTAAAGTTAAAAATAAATTCATTATTTATTTATATATCAAATTGAAATATGAATTGAACTAGTAGAATAATTTCTATCTTAAATTCTATTTCAACTCCTTATTTACTTCCATATATCGAACGTGTCTTATTCGGTTTGTTTATGTAAATCAACCTAATATTTGTAATCAACGATCGTATTATTCATTATTGTCACGCTTGATTTAACCCACCACTATGCAGATAAGGCCGAAAACATGATTAGTATATTTTGCCCTATAGAACAAAATGACACGGTCATCTTGTACTGTATTTGTTTCTGTTAATAATGATATGATAATAAGAACACCGCCTATCATATTAGCATTGGAAGACAAATTTTCAGTAATGATTTACAAGGAAACTTATTTCAATGATTCTTTTTGTTTTTTGACTACAGATACTATATAATATCCTAGTGAAAATTCTAAAAGGATTTGAGTTAGAGGATCTATTTTCAAACGACTCTTGTAGTTCTATCTTGAAACTACTTTTATTTGAAGGTCTTACATACAATAGTTTGTATGAAAATTTTCAGAGTTTTAAAGATTTCATATCTTCGAGCTATGAAGTTTTTAAACTATGAAACTTTTCATACATGCTATTATATGTAAGACCTTCAATTGGAGGTGATTTCTAGATGGAACTACAGGAGTCTCTGACAAATAGACATATAAAAAATTCAATAGATCGGCTAACTCTAATCATTTTATGAATGTCGCTTGAATACTATGTAGTATTTATAGGCAAAAAAAAACAATCCGTATCATCGGAAGGAAGAATCTGAGAAGGTTTGCTCATTAGTCTTTATTCACAAAAAAAAATGTCATTACGAAGAAAGATGAGTAGTGTCATTATGACTTTCATCAAACATGTTATGTTACTTCACTTTTTTTGTCAGGGACAACTTATACTAATAAGATTAAACTTTACAACCTCGACTAGTAACTTAATTAAAACCTCGATATATTGTATAGTATTTGCAAAGATATAAAAAAATCTCCTAACATACATATTCTCTACTCACTTAAAATGTACGTGTTCAAGTATACATCTCTTAAATCATAAGACGACCTTAATTATTCATGATGTCTTATTAATGATTACCATTAACTATTTTCTAGAAACTTCTATTATCATAACTGAATAGATATCATCTAAAAGAGTCACTTATTTCTTTTTACATTTATCTGGAACAAATATTTACCAATATGCCGTATAAGACTAATTCAATAACACCCCATATCAATCCATTAATTTATTTACGCACAACAGCCATAAAGAAAACCGGTCAACATCGAAAACAAGAAGAAAAAAAAAAGGAACCGAACGATACAAATACAAATTGTTCACTATATATATATATATGCCAGTTCACACATGCACACACGCAAGACACAACATAATTTGATGTTTGAATAAGATTTTAAAAAATAAATATGTGTACTGAATAAAAGACGACTGACTAGGCCGTACTCGATATAGTATTAAAATAGTTTGTTTGTAAATTATCAACTTTATTTGTTGAATTTGATCTTTGTAAATTTTCAAAAAGAGATATTGATGATGTTGATGAATATTGTTGATTATTTACAACGGATGATGATGATAATGATGATGGTGATGATAATGATGATTTATTAAGTAAAGTATCAATTTGTTTTTGAAGAAAAGTAATATTTTCTTCAATATCTTTTGTATCAATTAATAATGTTGATTTCATTCGTATAAAATGATCATAATCATCATATTGTTCATCAGAAAAATATTTTCGTAGAATATTCGTTACTAAACGACTACGTCGATCAATACCATCTTTTAATGATTTTGCTTCATTATGTTTTTCTTGAATCTTTTCACGTCGTTCAAGTAAACTTGCCTAAAATAAAGAGTACAATATGTAAAGTTCATCTTCTTAAGTTAGGATCATTTTATTGAATTTTTCAATTCAGACAAACACTACATGAAGAAAGGTCGAATAATACAGATCTTGAATGATGAAGGAATTTTCATGTATCATAGATAAAGGTGAGAACATCAAATTTTTTGTTTTTATGAATAAAACTTTTAAAGCCATCAGTAAAATTTATTCAAAAAGTCAATGTTCGTTTAATCAGATACCTTGTCAATGATGGTTCTAACATCGAAAGTAGTGGTATAGCTGGACGGAGACTAGAGAGAGAACTGAGCATTCTCTCCTGCACATTTTTTCCTAATTATGCTACTATCCAGAAGGGCAAGGTATGGGCCTGAAGCTTTTTTAGGATGCCACTAGTCTTACCGAGTCCTACATAATTAGTATCACAAAAACCATCTTTTTCTCAGTTTTTGTGATACCTTTAACTGTTAAAAGGAAGGGTATAGAAAATGCGGCGACACCTCATTTTGTTTTCTTTAAAATGGTATTGCTAAAAAAAAAAAGATATGTATACAAAATTTACTTTTGTATGAGCATTATCATCTGTAATCATCAATAAATCATTCTCAACTTTAGCCAATCGACTACTAAGTTTGAGAAGTATTGATGTAATTGTATCAATTTCACTAATATGTAATTTGACTTTTTCAATTTCATTTAATTCAGCTTTTGATTCAATTATATTAATTAACTAAAAGAAAATAATTTTCAAAAAAAAAAAAATTTTTTTTCCTTTTGTTTTGATTTTTAATTTCATACTTTTGTACCAAGTATTGTATTGATTTCAATTTCATCATTGATTATACGTTGATTTTCTTGTAAGATTTCTAAATTTCTTTTTAAATTTAATAATAAATCTTCCTAGAATCAAAAGCAAATTTTATTTTAAATTTATTTCTTTTCTTCTTTTTTTTTTTTTTTTTAATACCGTTTGTCGAATATTATCATTGAACATTGTTTGTATATCGTTCATATTATTGATTGTTGTTAAATTTTGTTTTGAACATTTACGTTTAAGACGATCAGGTATTGGAAATAAATTTCTTATATAATCTGAACTACGATGATATTGATTATTGATTATTAATTCATCTGTATATGGTAAAGATAATGGTTTGAAATCATTTTCTGAATTTATTTTTGTTGATAACGGTGTTGTAGAATGATTTATTGATGGTGATTGTACCGAACGTTGTACAGCTTTAACAATTCGAACTGGTTTTCGATAGATCGTTGGTGGAAATGTTGTTTGAGTTGAAAATGTATCAAAATATTTTGTTGTTCTTATCGTTGAGTCAGGAGGAGTTTGTTGTCTAAATGATAAAATCATTTTTTTTTTTCTATATGTTTAAAAAAGAATGATAAACAAAAGATAACATATTCTGCATGTATCATTCTTTTTTGTAGTCATGCCCAACTCAAGCGCTGCAAATGATCCTCTGTATCATGATGTCAGTCCAGAACACGAGCGTTTTACACGTTTATTTTTAATATTTTCTGGTTTAATATGTATAATATCAATAATATGTGCAATTATAAAAGCTCAAGAAGAAAAAAAATTCTATATTATTATAATTAGTTTAGTTGCATCAATATTTTTTGTTATATGTATTTATTTATTTTTTAAACGACGAATTCTTTTAGCTGAAAAACTTTGGTTTGTTAATTTAACAATATGTATTTTATTTTTACAAGCATTAATTTATTTAATATTTGTTTTTATTAAACCATATCCTATTCCGATTCTAACAACAACAATGACAACAACTGGTTCAACAAGACCATTTAATACGACTAATATGACTAATATATCAACAACAACAAGTTTAACAACAAAACCAAAATTATATTCATGGGATAAACAAATTTTTTTAACTAAATTATATGAACAAATTGATGATAATTGAAATATTATTATTATTATTCTTTTTGTTTTGTTCTATATTAATTTTGATTTATAAATCTTACTAATTTGATTATATTCTCCAACAAACAATTTATTAAATGAAATTTAAAAATAATGCAAAATTTTTTTGATTAATGTAGATTCGATTTTAAGAACACTTATTCTTTAATATATTTCGACAACGAAAAAAAAAAACTAATTCTCTAATTGTAATTCTTCTCGGGGATTGACACAAATCGCTATTTTGAATTTGGACTCAAAATTTGCATTTCACTAGACAAGCATTACAATTCCAATGAGACATGTACGTATAGACTAATGGTAGAACTTATCGGATTGGTGCAGGACTCGAGTCCAAACATTTTGGACCTGACAAACTCCGAAAGACACTGAACACATGATAAAACTATGGTGATCTTCGATTAATTTCGAATGTTTAGGTCGTTAAAGACCATTTCAAGAAAATAGCTGAATTTTATAAATTCTCGCAAGCGAAAAAAACATTAATCTTGTCATGTATTCACTATTCTTCTATACGTGCATATCTAGACCAATGCAGCGCTTTGCTTAAAACCGTTGATCACCGTCACCGCTGCATCCCTATGCTATACTAAGAAATTTAAATTTCTTTCGTTTTACATTAATAAAATATAATAATTAGATTTGTATGAATACCAAACTTAACTCTATTCAGTATTCAACAATATTCATGTCTACTGTATATGACAGATCTATAACACAATTAGATAATAGGAAGTATCATAAGTTTCTAAAGATTTTTGAATGTCTTTACTTCATATGACTTTATTAAATGACGTCATCACTTATCCATCATCTCATTCTTTCTATCGTTACTGTGACATCGTCATATCTACATATTCCATCTATATCTTTTATCATTGTACTGTCACGCATGAATGCATATATACGTTCTCTTTCTTTCTATATGTATTATATATCTTCTTTCTCTCGTATTCTTTAGTAAATTTCTTTCGTTGTTATACATCTTGTATGAATGTATCTATCTGTTGCTTAAAATATTGTACATTTGCGATAAGATAATATTTATATTTGATTAACAATTGGTTAGTGTTCGATTACCTTCACAACTTAAAAGTAAATTATCAATAATGAAACAATGTATAAAAATCGGTGTTGACACGAGTACTTAAATATTTATATAGATACATTCAATTCAAGATTATTTCCTATCTGCATTCAAAACCTAAGGGGTCTTTATTCTAGAGAATGATTCATCCGAAAAATTTGAAATCTTGAAGACAGGTAGATCTGTAACGAGTAGAATAAAAGTTGTTATAGAATCAAAGTTCCCGGATGCTGTCTTCTATTAGATACTGGCATCAAACTGGCGAAAAAAAGGTCTACCTCTCATTTTATATTTGTAAAAGCTACAAAAAAATCAGGAGAACAATAGTTTTTGAAATAGCACAATGTTTCAACTCAATTGGGTGTACTTGTCCGAAGAAACAGGGACATTTCTTCAAAAAACGCGAAACACTACAGTTTTCGCTATTTCTGTTTATACGGTATATCAAAAAAAAAAACCAATTCGTGCAATCCCTATAGGATTAAAATTTGAAATACAATGTAGTGTTGTTGTTACTAATCTTATAAAGATTGTTTTTTTTATCTATTCTAGGACACAGTTTTTCATCATCCTTTTATTTAATCCTTCGAAAGTATTTCAGATATTATAACGAGACATTATTGATATATGCAGTCTTTCATCGTATATTAACAATGTCAGTCATAGTCTATGATGCGAGAGAGAGGAAAGTACAGCTACGATGTCTATAACGAACAGCCGTGCTGAGATGTTGGTAATGAGCCGTTTCTGACGTGTCTATCGATTTCGTCTGTTATTAACTGTGACGCTTCGAAGGTAATGACTGTCATTTTCTATACGAGGTTAACGAATGCTAATTTCTACTCTCTATATACTTCAACAATTATTTTCGATTATGTTTTACAAAAGTATTCGAAGAATTATATATAATAGAACAAAATGTTTGAATAGAATGATGAGAAACTATTTTGGATATTAATATCATGCATGTTTTATTTTTCTTACTTTGCTTCAGAACGTTGATAATTATTATTTGATGTTGATAAAGAATAAGTTTTATTATTTGTTGCTGTTGTTGTCGTTGTTGGAGTATAATCTGTATAAGTACGATTTTCAAAAAATTGTCGTTTAGATTGAAAATCATCTAATATTTCATGACGAGTTGGTGAAAATAATGATTGTACACGTACTTGATTACCTGATTTTGGTCTTAAAATATTTTTATTTATTGAATTTGAATTTTCATATTGATTTTCTAAAGTATCTTTTGATCTTGATCGAGATAATGAATTATTATTATTATTATTCTTCATTGATATTAATTGATTTGTTGCTTTTATTGAACGAGATTTTTCACGTAAACGTTCACTATACGATGCTTGAGTATCTTCAAGAGAAGTATCACTTGCTAAAAAAAAAGAAAAACCAAAAGAAAATCTATGCAGTCTGACGATCATATATATATATAACATAGACACTCACACTCATATGTAAAATAAAATAAAACGAAAGAACATATTATTAAGGCGATAAAATGAAAGAAATAAAGGTATTTTTCTCCTTCGTATCGGTTTTTTTTTTGATATAGATTGTAACAAAAAATAAAACGCAAAAAAATAATTTGGATTTCCTTAATAATAAGATCGAAAAATGATATAATCAAATAGAATGAAGGCAAAAACAAAAAACAAAAAAACAAGATATCTAAAATCTTATTTAAGTAAATAAAGAAATGTTCTCTTTTTTTCCCCTTGAAAAAAAAAGTAAAGTAATCAATAAAAAAGAAAACTCCGTTCTTTTTTTTTTGTGTTGGCTTCTACGGATATTTTATGATTCATATTTTGTTTTTAATTAAAAATCTATGGCATAAGAAAAGAAAAAACAAATCTCATGTTTCAAATAGTAAAAAAAAACAAAATTCACATTTTGTAAGAATTCGAAATGTTGTTGTTGTTTTAGATAATGAAGATTTTTTTTATTGAATATTGACTATGTCAGTCATAATAATATATAATCTCGTATAATACTTATCAACATTTTATGACGATAAATATTCAAATGCAAATATATTTTAACAACAAAAAACATGTAGCTTAATTCCTAAAAGCTTATTTATAATCCAGGTACACAATCAAATGATACTTAAAAGTATAGAGTCTTTCAAAAAGTAATAAATTGATTTCTTTACGTTTTTTTTTTTGTAAAGCTTAAAAATAGATCATTGATTACTTACGAAAATTTTTTGCATGTTCAAGTTATAACATTAAAGACGAATTCAAAAAAAAAAATCTATTCATTGTCCTATGTATAAAATATTTCGATATGTTAAAATTGTCACCATCAAAAAACAAAAAAAAAAGACTTCTATATTCAAATACAATTAAGTATTACTCATTTCTAAAACATCGACTAATGTCATAAAACACATAACATTGTTAATCAATAAAAAAAAAAAAAAAAAGCTTGTTTCTTTTCTTTTTTCTATTTCAAAAATAGTTGTGCGATCAATGCTTATTATTAATAAATTCATACCTATTCGTAAGCAACCATTAGTAAATGAATTTGGTTCGGAATAAGATCGAACTTCATTTTTGTTATTTAATATTAATGATGTTGTAGGTGGTAAAACATCTGTTTGATTACCATTGTTTATAGATGATGAATCATCATTATAGGTCGAACTACAATGAAATACTCATTTTATATGCAGTGCATGATAAAAAAAAACGAGAGGAGAGAGAGGAAAAAAAATAAGGTTTCTAATGATTTGATATAAAATATTTGCTCGATTTATCGAATAAAATGAATATGTGACACATACTTAATAACATTATTTTGTATTATATTCGATTCGGATTGTTTGTGTTTGTGATTGATTGAATTGGAATGTTTGTTCTAAATATCGTAGACAAACAGATTTATATATGAAATGAACAGATGTTTATAGCTGTGCTATATTCTCATTTAAAAAAAAAAAACTTATATTTTATGAGTCAATATTAGCAATTTAGAAATATGTAATTACGAATTAAATTTATTTTATTTTTTTAATAAGAAATGATTGATCCAATGAACTTACTTGTTCGATAGTTGATGCCTTTATTTTTTGTTGAGGAATATTTTTCAATATAGATGATGGTGGTGAAGATGGTCGTGGTGGCCAAAAAGCTTGAACACAATCCGAAAGTATAACAGGTTTTGTTTTTGAAGATGATTTAAATTGATGAATATTTTTTTGATTATTTGTTGAATATGTTGAATATGATAATGTATCTTCATCAAAATCATGTATGTGAGATTCATATGATGCATTTGATGATGATGAATTTGTACTTATACTATTCATACTAATATTTGATATAGAACGATTTGTTGTTAAATTTTTTTTTGATATTGATGATGTTGGCGGATAAAGATAATAATGATATTGTGGAGGTGTAGAAATAATAAGTGTTGATGTTTGCATTATCTTACCAATTGATGGTGATGATAAAGATTCGTTATTATTCGATAATGATTTTAAAGGAGAAAGAAAAAAAGGTTCTTTTTCAATTGATTGAACAGGTTTAAATAGAAGACCATTATTTAATGAATCACCTTCATCCGATTTTACAGTTATCGTTGTTGGATTCATTGACATTGATGTTGAACTTCTATTCATTTTAGTATTTGTACGCAGTGGGATAGATGAATCTAAATGACGATTATATGAAGCAAAAAAATAAAAGAAAAAATAAAAGAAGAACCTTGGAATACGCCCCTCCTACTCACGGGTATGTCATCAATAGTAAACTCTTTTATTGGCCTTCTTTGATATACTTACTGGTATTACAAGAAAAACGGATATGAGTATTGTTATCTGTCATCGATTGCCGTTCTTCTTGATAATTCAATGTAACCTTGTCAATATCTCCTTTCGATAAGTTGTTTGAAGATATTAAAGGAGACCGCAATGTATCAATATCAGCACTAAGACGTTTATTGCCATGTATTTTATGTTGTTTAGATTTTTGTTGAGTGGATGATGTACGTTTTAATTGTTTATTTTCATTATTAGATGATGAATTATTATTATTGTTATTATTATTACTATTATTTGATCGATTAATAAAACTAAAAAATCCTCCAGTACTAGTAAACTTTTTTGTTGTTGTTGTTGTTGTGTGTGGATTGAGTGTAGAATTTTTAACAAGTAAAGTATTCAAAGGCATCTGTTTATCAGCTGACGAATAGGTTAAATTTCCACCTAACAATTACAATGATAGATTGTGTCAATGTATAATTATTCAAAAAAAAAAGAAAAAGAAAAGGTCATTCATACTTGTATTAAAATTGTTCGTGCCATTTGGCTCTTTTGTTGATGAGATATTTTGGTTGCCGTCATTGAAAGTGACTGTAGCGGCTTTAGTAGTACAATGAAAGTGAGTTGCAGCAGTTGTTGCTCGTCCACTAGTAGTAGTAGTACGATTTAGTTCATCGACATTTTCTTTTTTTTCTTGTCTATGTCTTCGACTATCGTTATTCTCTTCTTTTGAAAGTAGTGATGGCGAGAGAGAAAAAGAACGATGAATTGTATTCGTGGACAATGGAGCAGTAGTAGTCTTGATTGTCCTTCTTGTTATTTCAATTTTTTCTTTTTCTTCAACTTTCTCACCATAATTTTTCTTCGTTTGTATGTCATTATCACTATTACTGTTCCCTATAGACAAAGATGAAGACGTAACTGTGACCGATGGGTGATAATTACAATGTGTTGATGGTGATGTTGATCGAATCTGTTTAGGCAAATGCCAACCAAAATGAACAGATTTTTTTGTTTGATTTTTATTATTATTATTATTATTATTATCTTTTTTTTGTGATTTTAAACAACTACTACCAGCAATTTTCCTATAAAAATAATGCAATGTGAATGAAAATTTATATATATATATATAAATTAATAAATTATTTGTCATATATGTTTTTTCATTAGTATTTCATAAGAGAAAAAGTAAATATAGACAGATTGATATGAGATTCACTTACGAATTTGTTTGTTCTCGTCGTGATTTTAATCCATCATTATTATTTGTCATTGTAGAATTTGATGTGATGATAGAATTTGACGAATGTATTTGATTATGATAACGATTAGACGACATTGACATATTCATTATACCATATGTTGATGTTGAATGACCATTGTCGTCTCGAGATGAATCAGTAGTTGGTGTTTGCAAAGTAAACTTTGCATATTGATTTAAAGATGACCCTATGGGAGACGGCGATGGCGACGACGACTCTTCATGACCTTTTGGACAAGTGAAAGAGGTGGACGAGGAGGAGAATGATGATGATGATGGTAAAGAAGAAATTGGAGACGATAAAGGAGTAGTGTTTGTATTTAATACTGGTGATAAAAATTTGTAATCGATATGATTTAAATCTGTTTGTTGATATTCACTTATCAATGGACGTGTTTTTGATGAACACATATGATCATAAATAGGAGTTTTTTGTCGTGAAGACATAATTGAACTTAAAGATGTTACTGTTGTCATTGATGATGCAGTAGATGTATCACTTATAAAATCACTACTATCAAATGATGGTGAAGCACGTGTTTTAATTTGTAATACTGAATCAATTGAAGATGATGACGGAGTTGGTGATGGTTCACGTCGTTCATTTGACAAACTTCCATTATGATTCTATAAAAAAAATATAGATTTAATAAATCATCTTACTTTATTTTTATGTTTCTATTAAGAGGGGAAAAAAAGACATTTTTCTTATGTAATATAGAACTCTTATTAACACTAGATATTGTCATTATTAATGTTAACATGAAAAAAAAAGTCTTATGCAAATTTCTTACCACTGTTGAATATGAAAGTTTATCAATTAAAAGATGATCATATTTGTCATTACATGAATAAGGTCGTTCAAGAATTTTTTGATTTGGTTGTTGTAATTGATAATGTCTTGTTGTTTTAGGTCTCATACGTACTCGATTAAAATTTTTATTTGATGTTGTTTGTTCACCAAATGCTCGTTTACCAGTTGGTGGTAAACCATATGTTGGTTGTTCTTCATTTGGACTCCAACTAGATCGTTTAAGTAAACGTTTTTCTTCAATAAATTCATTATTTCCAATATTTTTAACTAATTCCGTATAAATATATTCAGATGGTAATGATTTATTATCTATTGAACGTGGTAGATTTTCTTCATGTAAACTATGACATTGAATAGATGAATGATAATTATTAGGTAAACATGATGTTGTTTTACATTCATCAATGAATAAATTTGTATCATTTTTAGTATATTCAGGAAGTTTCATTTTGTTTTTTCTTTTTCAATTAATATTTAAAATGAAATGATAAAAACCTGAGAGATAAATAAATAAAGGTAATACCTACATATCGTACTATAATATAAATGTAAAACAAAAAAAAAAAAAGGACTGATATAACACTATGTTTGGAGTAGCATGAGCTATATGATAAGATATTGAGATCAATTCATAATATAAAATAAGAATAGATATAGTTTATAGCAAGAATTTAGCTCTTATTAAATATTATTATTATGTTTCATTCTTTTCAATGATAGTAACAATAGTACCGACACTGATATATGTAACCAGTAACGGACAATGTATTATCTTTAATTAATCTTGCATCATTGTTTAAGCTTAGACAAGTGAAGCATTAGCGGTATTTTGTCGTAATGTTTAATCTTATCGTTTAAAAAGAGAATTCTATTACGTTAAGTATTTAAAATGACACGTAACTATCTGCAACTACTTATGCATTTTGTCTGATTGAAGTGTCTACTTTAGTTTAAAATTACTTTTCTTATTTCATCTAAATATTGACGAAGAAGAATATCAAAAAAGAAAAAACAAAAGATATCCTATACTTCATATATATATAGAAATGAGTGAAATTGACTATAACGGAAAAATGATGATCAAGTACATACTTATTATTGTAGAGTAACCGGATCATTTCTTAATTATATTTTCAACAGTTGAACATTGAAACGAGAAAAAAAAGGCCTTACACACATACATAGATGACATAATGTTCAACAAAAAGTGAAAGAAAGAGAGAAGAAGAAGAAGAAAAAAGAAAGAGCCACCACTTTACGTATTTGTTCAATAACATCAACGACAAGCGATTGTCGTGGTTAGTGTCCTACTATAATGACCAAACGAATGAGAGCTTAAACAGGGCAATAACAGTGACAAAAAAAAAGAAAAGGAAGCATTCATTACATAAGTATATTCTTGTTGGCCTGCCTCTTTTTTTTTTCTACTCGAACGACTCACATAGAATAAGCAGATCGAGGTCGATATTACTGACAAACGGGTCGCTCAGTTTCATTTATATATATATATATATATATACATTTTCATACCTTCACAAAAAAAAAACCAACAAGTCATGTAAGAAAAAAGAAAGTAGAATGAAGAAGGTTTAAAACTATATTCAAACAGAGATGATGATGATGATGAAAGACAGTAGTTCTATGTGTTCCCACCTATTATTATATAACATGTTTGTATGTATGTGACAATTGACACCTTCATATACAGACTATATATTACCGATGGTGTTCATCATCGTTGTTTCATTGTCTTCATATGTATTTTAAAATGGTAATAGGAGACAAAGATGTGTATGTCATAAAGATAATTCGATATTTGAGATATATCCAACGATATTTATTCTTTTGTCAAATGTAATCAGTTCAATATATTTTTCTTCTTTTTTTCTTTTTTTTTTACAGCTTGTTCTTTCCAATATGAAATAGATATTGGGTTTGAAAAGAAAGTTGAAGGTAAATACTAGCACGTATGCATATCATCGAAGATGATATGAATCAATTTTAAAATACATTGGGTATATAGAAGAGTTATATCTGATTGATTAATATAACTTGATTTGTTCAATGAAAAACCGGTGCTTACTGATATTGATGTTCGTCATAGAAGCATGGATGCGTATACAAGGCAATAATGAAGGTTGAAGAAGACTGAAATCGAGGAAGCACAGAAGGAGAGGGAAAGGGAGGGTGGTTATATAGTTTGGAAAGAAGAATGAATAATTTTTAGTGTTATCAATAGACGATACCACCTTGAGCTGCCAAAACATTTTAAAATCCATTACTAATTGAAAATATTTAAACAATGATTATCATTTCGAAATTTCTTTTTCTTTTTCTGAGCAATAGACGAGACATCAATTTTTATAGTTTATTTTCCAAGGTTCAGACCGTAATAATTTAAACAAGAAAAGAAAATGAAAAAACAGAGCCATACATTATAAAAATGATACTGTTGATTGCCATTGAAAATTGTTAATGTTGTCTATAATAACAATGTATAATTAATTATGGCTAGTTTTGACGAGAAAATTGAAAACATTGATCAATCAATTACAAAAAAAAAAAAAATATCAATCATACTTAGATGCTAAAAATATATGAGTATGTATTTGTCGTATGTTCAATATGTGTAATTCACAAGTATATGAAAATATTTGTTAAAGTTCTCAGATAAAATTTCGTATTAATAAACATTTTAATGTCACATTGTTAATGATAAAATGTAATATGAACAGCATTGAAAAAGAACAAAGAAAAAATAGAAAAAAAAAATCTTCTATGTAGTTTGATTGAATCCAGATTAAATAATGGTATTACATAATACACTTTATTTAATTTTTAACTGTTTTCTATCAATTGGAATATTATCAATAAGTTGATGAATTTTTAGTATAGATTGAAAAATTATAGAATGAAGAGAAAATCTTTTCGTTTGATAAAATCTTGATAGAATAATAAAAGAATTGAAAATCGAACGTTTTGAATAAGAATGAACAACCCTTGTAATATATTATAATTGCTTATATGATAGGAAATCTAAAAGTATGAAAGATTCATTTTTTTGATAATGTTATAATAATATGTGACTATGTTAAAAACCTTGAGATTTTTCTATTTAATATATTTTCAATAAAAATTTATATTCAATCATTTAATTGAAGAAATATGATCAAATATTATCGTTCATTAAAATCAATTTTGATATTAAATAAATTTAAAATATTAAATTCTTATTGAAGAAAATAGATTTTAAGTATTTTATTAATCTTGATTAAAAAAAAAATATATATATTAGAATATGTTTAACTAATTAATAGTATTATTTTAGTTAGTCAAAATAGATTATCTTTGATAAAAAAAAAAAAGAAACTATTTCATAAAAAATAAATTATTATTTAAAATTTAAAATCTTGTATTAATGATTATAACTCGAGAATAATTTGAACCATTTGCAATACGTTTTTCATTGAATTGCCATCCATTTGGCCAATGAAATGGTTCAACATATGAAGCAATATTTTCTAAAGCTACATTTGATTCTCGTCTAAATTGTGTTAATGAAGGTAAATATTCTGTAATTAATTTAAACCAAGATGATGTAAATATTAATGGTTCAATAATTGAATATGTAATAATATTTAATTTTTGTAATTTTGAAAATTTCTTTAAGAAATTAGTAAGTTCATCATATAAAGATATACATAATATTAATTTAAGTGAATTAATTGAAGAAGGTATTGATATTTGTTCAGTTTTTAATTCATTAATTGTTGCAATAGTTGCAGTTAAATGACGAAGATAAGGAGTAAATTTAAAAAGTGTATATAAACTTTGAAAATTACAATAATTAATATTAAGATATTCAACAAAAGATAATGATTGTAATTGTGAAAATTCAACTGATTGAGCTGTACGAAAAATACAATGTCGAAGTGATGGATGAATAAGAATTTTTGAAATTAAACATTCAAATCGTTGACTATAATTATTTTGTTCAATTCCAAATGAAAAAATAATACATAAATGAGTTAGATTATTTAATTTTGATAAACATTCTGAAGTAAATATTGATTCAGCCTAAAAAATAATTTATATTTGAAAACTTAATGATTGTATTACACATTCAAAAAGAAACCTATCAAATAGAACATACATTTGAAGAATAGATATGACTTTACATAGGATTTGTTATTTAATTTAAACTTATTCAAAAGGCATCTCATAATGTATTTCAAACTATAACGATATGATTGTTTTATAATAACTCAACTGACACTGATGCTAATGGAAAAATAATAGACTATAGAATCTATTGTGTAAAGAATAACGGTGAATGTATGATAACCTTGCATTCATTTCGACTTCTCCAGTAGGCGGAAGTCTATTTCAAGAAAATAGTTGACTTTTATAAAAAAAAAAAAGGACTAAATCATGATCATGTATTCACGTACATGTTTAGATCGGTATACCATCATCGTTGCATTTCCAGTAATTGACATTACCGAAAAGAATCATTTGAATGTAAAAAAAAACAAACTTCAATAGTGGAAAGAGAATTGATGAATTACTTATTGAAATACACATGAACAATCAATATTGTGACTATGAACTAAATAAAATGATTATCTATTAACTCATAAGTTACTAAGAGTTATGAAAACAAGTAAAATTGAATCAAAATGAATTCAATGATCATTGGCACGAAAAAATGTTAAAATTCATTGATGCAATAATGTACTTTAGAACTATGCCAGGATAAATCGATTTGAATCTATTGATAAATAAATCAAGGAATCGGCTTCAGAGTAACTGATTAATCACTTTTGAATGGAGATTATATGGCATCATGTAGACTCGAATGAACTATGAATATCCTAAAAAGAGTTCGAACTCTTAGCTTATTACTACGGAGATAGTGCATTTGTTATGAAGTTTTAAATCGATATCGTGGTCTTCTTCAGGAATATGTATCTTCCAAATTCTGACTTGAAACTTTGCACATAGATAGATCTAAACTGAAATAGTTTATGATGCTCTTGAGAAATAGTCATTGTAATTAGAATTTTTAAGTACAATATTATGAGATCAACTTGTTTTTAAATACTAAAATATAACATTCATGAATATATATATATATATTTGTTTAGAAATTAAAAAGAAAAAAAATGAAAATAACCTACTTCGTCTAGTGTAATATTGTTTAAAGATAAAGCTTGTAAATTTACAAAATTAGATAATGGTTTATATTGATTAAATATTTCAATACTACGATAAATACTAAATGGACGAATTTTAATCAATGAAATTCTTGTTGTTAATTTCATATTTTCAATAAAATCAAGTTTTTTTTTCAAAGTATTATTATCTATTGTTTGAAGATAAAGTTGATGTTGAGTCCATGGATGATCAAAAATAATATATGATAATCGAGTATTTAATTTTCCAAAT